TGTTTATGTCAGTTTACGTTAGCGGTATAATTTATTATGGACTTCTTCGAAATATTTGATACAATTTGCCCAACAATATATCCAAAGGGATGTCTTTCTTGTATATACACACACGTTGAACATCTTAAGAAATAGCCAATTTAAAGAATTACAAAGATCTGCTAGAGGTTGAGAATTAATAAAAGGAGAATTATGATTTGGAAGATGTGCCGACTGATTAGTGTGGTTAAGCATCTTTGACTCTGGCAATGGGTGACTCACAGACAACCGGGGCTACATGGAGGGAAGGGAAGCCTATAAGGCTTCAGGTCTCCCGTAATGGCATACTAGAATACAACAAAATACATGTATACATTTATGCATGTATAATGCAATAATTACATAGGTCTACACATAAATGCATATGCGCGCGTGCGCACGAACGCATGCACACACACACACACACACACACAGCGCTCTACTTTTAATATATACGTAGGGTAGGGTAGGGTTCTAGGGCACTAGGGTAGTTTTCCTAAGGACCCATGTTCGATTCCCGGTCGAAGTTGAAACAAATGGGCAAAGTTTCTTTCACTTGATGTCTCGGTTTACCTAGCGATAAATAGGTGCCTGGGAGTTAGACAGTTGTTACAGGCTGCATCCTGTGTGTGTGTGTGTGTGTGTGTGTGTGTGTGTGTGTGTGTGTGTGTGTGTGTGTGTGTGTGTGTGTGTGTGTGTGTGTGTGTGTGTGTGTGTGTGTGTGTGTGTGTGTGTGTGTGTGTGTGTGTGTGTGTGTGTGTGTGTGTGTGTGTGTGTGTGTGTGTGTGTGTGTGTGTGTGTGTGTGTGTGTGTGTGTGTGTGTGTGTGTGTGTGTGTGTGTGTGTGTGTGTGTGTGTGTGTGTGTGTGTGTGTGTGTGTGTGTGTGTGTGTGTGTGTGTGTGTGTGTGTGTGTGTGTGTGTGTGTGTGTGTGTGTGTGTGTGTGTGTGTGTGTGTGTGTGGTGTGTGTGTGTGTGTGTGTGTGTGTGTGTGTGTGTGTGTGTATGTGTGTGTGTGTGTGTGTGTGTGTGTGTGTGTGTGTGTGTGTGTGTGTGTGTGTGTGTGTGTGGTGTGTGTGTGTGTGTGTGTGTGTGTGTGTGTGTGTGTGTGTGTGTGTGTGTGTGTGTGTGTGTGTGTGTGTGTGTGTGTGTGTGTGTGTGTGTGTGTGTGTGTGTGTGTGTGTGTGTGTGTGTGTGTGTGTGTGTGTGTGTAAGAGAGAAATATGAGTGCAAGTATGTACTCACTTGTACTCAATGCAAGTGAGTACGTACTCTTTCTCTCTCTCTCTCTCTCTCTGTTGGAAATTATGTATTTGTAGTACATGGATGAAGTATTTACAGAGTCATGTTTTGAACAGAGGTCGTCAACATAGCACTATGCAAGAAATGTTCAAGCGTCATTTGTTGTTAGTCGTGTGTAAACCGTTTTTCATTCACGAACAAGTGGTATGGCAGCTGCATGGAATGAACATTGGCCTTTGTTGATGAGGACGGGCTGGCTTGATGAGGACGGGCTGGGTTGATGAGGACGGGCAGGGTTGATGAGGACGGGCTGGGTTGATGAGGACGGGCAGGGTTGATGAGGACGGGCTGGGTTGATGAGGACGGGCTGGGTTGATGAGGACGGGCAGGGTTGATGAGGACGGGCTGGGTTGATGAGGACGGGCTGGGTTGATGAGGACGGGCAGGGTTGATGAGGACGGGCTGGGTTGATGAGGACAGGCTAGGTTGATGAGGACAGGCTGGGTTGATGAGGACGGGCAGGGTTGATGAGGACGGGCTGGGTTGATGAGGACAGGCTAGGTTGATGAGGACAGGCTGGGTTGATGAGGACGGGCAGGGTTGATGAGGACGGGCTGGGTTGATGAGGACGGGTTGGGTTGATGAGGACTGGCTGGTTGGTTGACAGAGCAGAGCTCGCTTGGTCGACCCCCACGGAACCGAAATCATGAGAGCGGAGAGTGACTGGAACTCCCGGAGCCAGAAACCCTTGTGTGGAAGTATTGACTTGTTCTATACTCTGCTATTCGACTCTACATCAAGAGTCTATCATTAATTACTTGCAGGATGCCCATGATGCTCTGAACTAACATATTACTCTTGGGGATATTGAAGGAGAATATAGAGATTTAATAACATTTTATTGTTAAAAAGTTCACGCATATTTTTCTTCATGATACAGACTGCAGATCAGATATATCAGCAGAGGAGTCCCCAGCCTCCAACTATGCGATGAACATTTGTTGTCATTAAGAAAACATTATGTAATATAGACCACCCAACCCCACAAATCTGTAAATAGAGCAGGTGACGACGTTTCGATCCGTTTCGGACCATTGTCAAAGTATCGGATCGAAACGTCTCACTACCTTTATTTTCAGGTTTGTAGGTTGGGTGAATAATTTTCAGTCACGTTATTGTGACCTTTTTGTCTTCACTATACAATACGAACGTTTACATATAAAACGACCTTCAAAAGTGTTTTTATTTTAATATCAATAAATGCTTGTTATATACGTCAAAAGCTTTCACCCTCAGATGGTTTATTAATGTTACTCAGACTTTAAATATGTTTTAAAGGTGAACATCATATCAGTTTGATTTTAACAACATTTTAATATAGTGAACTATAGAATAACAAGCCAGTTATCGGTATTACTTGAAACAAAAGAATAAAGGATACATATATATATATATACCAATTAGCCCATACCAAGGCACCTCCTTTTTCTATCCATCATAAAAACACTAAACAAATTCAGTGATAAATCATACTTCAGTATACATGCCTACTATACAAGATTATATACATGGCCATAAACAAGTTGTTTACGTGCTGCAAGTAATCAAGCCGTTTATGGGTTCATCGTTAGAACTTTCAAGAGGAAAGTTCACTCAAGAGGAAGGTTCACTCAAGAGGAAGATTCACACAATCACGTTTTTTTTTTTTTTTTCTATAATGAGCAGGAAGAGGGTTCAGGTGGAGAAAGGCCCCAACAGACCACTGGAACATTATCTAACACATTCCAGAGTTACAAACCAAATCAGATTCCATTTGAGATGTAATAGTGTAGAAGAAGTTGTTAAACACATTGGCCAGAATGATACTGAAGCCAACATTCCGGTCATAAATGCTCATCCATTGCAACATACCGATCATAAATGCTCATCCACCACAACATACCGGTCATAAATGCTCATCCACCACAACATACCGGTCATAAATGCTCATCCACCACAACATACCGGTCATAAGTGCTCATCCACCGCAACATACCGGTCATAAATGTTCATCCACCGCAACATACCGATCATAAATGCTCATCCACCACAACATACCGGTCATAAATGCTCATCCACCGCAACATTCCGGTCATAAGTGCTCATCCACCGCAACATACCGATCATAAATGCTCATCCACCGCAACATTCCGGTCATAAATGCTCATCCACCGCAACATACCGATCATAAATGCTCATCCATCGCAACATACTGGTCATAAATGCTCATCCATCGCAACATACCGGTCATAAATGCTCATCCATCGCAACATTCCGGTCATAAATGCACATCCACCGCAACATACCAGTCATAAATGCTCATCCACCGCCTAAGTGAGACAAAACGATAAACAGTGTAACAGTGGACCAGCCAAAGGCTTATTGAGGCTCGACGCAGTGGAGGCGGTGAATCCCTGCAAAAACGAGCGCTAATATGAGGTTCAATAGCGCAAGAAGAAAGGGGGTTCAGGAGTGCTGTAGAAGGGGTTCCGGTGCATTTTGTGAGGTTCAGGAGCAATGAAATGGGGTTCAGGAGCGCTGTAGGTGGATTCATAAACGCTTCAGTGCGTACAGGAACGCTGTAGTGAGTTCAAGAGAGTTATACGGGGTTTAATAGCGCTGTAGGAGGTTCGAAAGCTTCAGGGAGTGCTCTAGGGAGTTCAGAAGTGCTCAGAGAGTTTCAGGAGTGCTGTAGGGGGATTCAGAAGCACTGTAATGGGTTCAGGAGCGTTGTGGAAGGCTCACGAGCACTGTAGAAGACTCATAAGCGCTGTAGAGACTTCAGAAGCTCTGTGGGGGTTGAATGGCACTATAAGAGGCTTCGAGAGCGCTGTAGAAGGCTAACGAGTGCTATAGAGCGTTCAAGAGCGCTATGGGGTTCAATAGTGCTGTAGGGGGGATTCAGGAGAACTGGTAGGAAGTTACAAAAAATATGGTAGGAGTTCAGAAGTTTTGGAAGTAGTCCAGGAGTGCTGTAGAGGGCTCAGGAACACCAAGATGATTTCAGGAGTACTCTTAAGGGGTCAGGAAAATGGTAGCGTGTTCACAAGCGTTGCAGGAGTTTCAGGAGTGGAGGGGGGGCGCTGTACAGGGTTCGATAGCACGTTATGGAGGTTCAGGAGCTCATTAGGTGGTTTCTTGAGCGCTAAAGTGGGTTGAGGAGCACTGGAGGAGGTTCACGAGCTCTGAAGGGGATTCAGGAGCGATGAAGGGGGTTCAGGAAGGCTGGAGGGGTTCAGGGGAGCTGGAGGGAGTTCAGAAGCACTGGAGGTGGTTCTGGAGCGCTGGAGAGGGGGGGGGGTAGGAGCGCTGAAGGGGAGTTCTGGGGCGCTGGAGGCAGGGTTAGGAGCGCTGAAGGGGGTGTTCAGCAAGTTCTGTTGACACAGTGATCAGCTTGGTTTTATTTCATGATTGTATATATATATATATATATATATATATATATATATATATATATATATATATATATATATATATATATATATATATATATATATATATATTTTGGAAAATGAAATTGACTAGTATTCTCACGTAAAATATAAATATTTAAATACATTATAAAAAGTTTTCACATTTCTCAACAAGAAGACTAGACACGCTGCCGAGCTATGTACAATGGCACATCACTTGTCTGACGAGTAATGTAACATTTTCTACCTATTGAAGCAGCATCTGTGAAAATATATCACCTTCTTTTTCCCGCCATAACGTCACACACACACACACGCGCGCGCTTTACATAAACAACAATGAGTCTGTGACATCTCTTCCGTGTAACAAATATATGAAATGACAAGAACAGAACAAACGCAAGTGACTTTGTTTTACAATCAACACCCAATGATAAAACAATCGCTAGACGGCTGTGTTCTTAGATGAAGATGACATGTTTCTTGGTTCGAGGGTGTTGGGGGAACTAGTGGCCCAAGCCAAACTCTGCTTCACCACCTCGAGGGACGTGGCGCCGAGCACACACACACGCTGTCGTCATGGTCACCATGTGGGAACGAAACACACCATAGTGGTGGGGTCCGCTCGTCCATACTTCGACGCGGCGACTGACGGCCGTACACTGGAAGTCGCCCCCGCGCGAGCAGCTGTGACCGTTACACAGACAGCCCACCTCTATAATGGAAGGGGGCACAGTGCCGGGGATAAACTCTCGTTTGACCAGCTGCCAGGGGCACTCCCCGGCCAGAGTGGCATCCGCTAGCCATTCCGGGAACAAGTTATGATGGCTATCCAAAACAACTATTTGTCTATCGGCTTCCAGTTCCTCGCAGGAATTAATGCGGTTCAAAGTTGTTAAAGACATTGGGAAGGAGGTGTAGTGGGTGAAGTGGTTCTCCAGGAGAACGAGCGGTGAACAGATTCTCTCGGGTTGTAACCAATCCTCTGGTATCTCCGAGTCTTCTTGGCTTGCCGTTGCTGGCGATGTCTGAAGTGAAGAAACAGTGGCTGGAAGTTTGCTGACGGCAGCACTCAGGCTGGTGTTTGGGGTCGGGGTGGCCACCGCAGCATGCACGAGGTAAACCAGGACGGAGGTGGTCACTGCTCGCTGTGTGTGGCCGACGTGTCCAAACACCGCGTCGGCGATCAAAAGAGTGAACTTCATGGTGCACTTTGTCCAAGTCGAAGGTGTGTGTGTGGAGGCTGATGCCGGAGTGAGTCTCCTGTGCTATACCTACCTTTTATACCACGAACTTCCTGGTTCCTCTGTCATCTATCAACCTTTGATTGCTTGTGAGGCTTACTCGATGGCTTCTAATATTGTCCGCAAAAAGGGTTTCAGTTCGCTAATGAATTCAGATTCAAAGCGAAATCATTTCTAAATTGTCATCTATGTCCTCATTGATGCAATGCGCCTTTATGATCATCATTCTGTAATTTTGAAGAGGAGTTACAATGTGCTTCTGGCCGTTCCCTGTAATATGTCGTCTGCCTCGTGTTGAAGACGGCTAAGTACAATGATGGTAGGCTAGTAACGCTTCGGCAATATTATACTTCTTTCTATTTTCTTGTTTGTAACTTAGTCGGTAACCTTTATAGTGATCATATGCGGGCGCGCGCGCACACACGCAGACACACACACACACACACACACACACACACACACACACACACACACACACACACACACACACACACACACACACACATACACACACACACACACACACACACACACTCACACACACACACACACACACACACACACACACACACACACACACACACACACACACACACACACACACACACACACACACACACACATGCACGTGTGTGTGTACTCACCTAGTTGTGCTTGCGGGGGTTGAGCTCTGGCTCTTTGGTCCCGTGTGTGTGTGTGTGTGCGTAATCACCTATATGTACTCACCTATTTGTGCTTGCGGGGGTTGAGCTCTGGCTCTTTGGTCCCACCTCTCAACTGTCAATCAACTAATGTACAGGTTCCTGAGCATACTGGGCTCTATCATATCTACATTGGAAACTGTGTATGGAGTCAGCCTCCACCGTATCACTTCCTAATGCATTCCATTTGTCTACGACAATGACACTGTAAAAAATTCTTTCTAACGTTTCTATGGCTCATTTGGGCACTCAATTTCAACCTGTGTCCCCCCTAGTGTGTGTGCCCGTTGTTTTAAATAGTCTGTCTTTATCTACTTTATCAATTCCTCTGAGAATCTTTTATGTGGTGATCATGTCCCCTCTAACTCTTCTGTCTCTCAGTGACGTGAGGTTTAATTCCCGTAGTCTCTCCTCGTAATTCATACCCTTCAGTCCGAGTACTAGTCTGGTGGCAAACCTTTGAACCTTTTCCAGTTTAGTCTTATGCTAGACTAGATATGGACTCCATGCTGGAGCCGCATACTCCAGGATTGGTCTGACATATGTGGTATACAAAGTTCTGAAAGATTCCTTACACAAGTTTCAAAAGGCCGTTCTTATGTTAGCCAACCTGGCATATGCCGTTGATGTTATCATCTTGATATGGGCTTCAGGGGACAGATCTGGCGTAATATCAACCCCCAGGTCTTTCTCTCTCTCTGATTCTTGAAGTATTTCATCACCCAAATGATACCTTGTATCTGGCCTCCTGTTCCCTACACCTATCTTCATTAAATTACATTTGCTTGGGTTAAACTCTAACAACCATTTGTTCGACCAATCCTGCAGCTTGTCCAGGTCTTCTTGAAGTCTCAAGCTGTCCTCCTCTGTCTTAATCCTTCTCATAATTTTGGCGTCGTCAGCAAACATTGAGAGGAATGAGTCTATACCCACCGGAAGAACATTTACGTATATCAGAAACAGGATAGGTCCGAGTACAGAGCCCTGTGGGGACTCTATACTCGGTCAGTGAAGTCAGAAGAAGAATAGTGAAGTCACCATTGGTGACTTCTCGCCAATCGGAAGTCTCACCCCCTCACTGTAACTCTCTGTTTCCTATTGCTTAGGCACTCCCTTATCCACTGGCGCGCCCTACCAGTTACTCCTGCCTGTTTCTCCAGCTTATGCATCAGTCTTTTATGGGGTACTGTGTCAAAGGCTTTCCGACAGTCCAAAAATGCAGTCCGCCCATCCTTCTCTTTCTTGCTTGTGTGTCTTGTATATGTGTGTGTGTGTGTGTGTGTGTGTGTGTGTGTGTGTGTGTGTGTGTGTGTGTGTGTGTGTGTGTGTGTGTGTGGTGTGTGTGTGTGTGTGTGTGTGTGTGTGTGTGTGTGTGTGTGTGTGTGTGTGTGTGTGTGTGTGTGTGTGTGTGTGTGTGTGTGTGTGTGTGTGTGTGTGTGTGTGTGTGTGTGTGTGTGTGTGTGTGTGTGTGTGTGTGTGTGTGTGTGTGTGTGTGTGTGTGTGTGTGTGTGTGTGTGTGTGTGTGTGTGTGTGTGTGTGTGTGTGTGTGTGTGTGTGTGTGTGTGTGTGTGTGTGTGTGTGTGTGGAAATATATGTAGTATATATAATTTAAAAAAAAAATAGATTGATTAAAAAGTGGGTGTCCAAGAGCTAATCGCTCGATTCAGCAGACACAAACAGTAAGTACACATTCACACGCACACACGCACACGCCCGCAAGCACACACACACACACACACACACACACACACACACACACACACACACACACACACACACACACACACACACACACACACACACACACACACACACACTCAAAGACTTTGTCAAGAACCTGTACAACAGTTGAATGACAGTTGAGAGGCGGGACCAAAGAGCCGAAGTTCAACCCCCCGGATTATATCCATACTTTATGACCAAACCACACACCAGAAAATGAGGAGACGACGATTTTTCGGTCAGTCCTAGACCACCATTATCATGTCGATTGTTGACCTGATAACACAATCGACTTTATAATGGTCCAGGACGGACCGAAAAGTCATCGTCTCCTCATCTTCTGACGTGTGGTCTGGTCATCATATCTTCAGCCACGTTATTGTGACTCATCGTCTGCAATATCCATACTTTAAATCCATCGCAAAATTGACTTTCCGTTCCTAATGCGAACAGCCACCAAAATATGTCTACCTTCACGTGTTATGGTCTTCAGTTGCTTGTCTTGATCAGCTTCTTATCTCAGATTACTATCGCAGACATTTGATCCTTCCCAGCCTCAATGTGTATATCTTATCACAGAACACGGTGTTATCAACGCCCGTTGACAAGATAAGTTAAGAGAAATAATTCATTACATTTTTAAGATCAGTGATCACTTAACACTGATCACTTAAACTTTAACGGGGAAAAATAAACAAGATTAATAGGAAACATAAGTTAAAGAATGAGTAATGAGGATTATGATGTAGAAGAAAGAATAAAATCACTAATTAGCAGAGAAAGCAGCGAGAACCCCCAGCTGGATATTTGGAATTATGAAATTACTGCCACAAAGAGATGGCTTGTTGACCAGACCACACAGTAGAAGGTGAAGGGACGACGACGTTTCGGTCCGTCCTGGACCATTCTCAAGTCGATTGTCTCACATTCTCACAATCGACTTGAGAATGGTCCAGGACGGACCGAAACGTCGTCGTCCTTTCACCTTCTAGTGTGTGGTCTGGTCAACATACTTTAGCCACGTTATTGTGACTCATTGCCTGCACAAGAGATGGCTTATTGACAACTATTTTAAATCCTATTGAAATCAGATCAGATTTAAATGAGCTGTGTGTTGAGAGGGATTTTGTGTCAGGTGTCACTGAAACTGCTGGCGCGAAATGCTGAGTCTGTGCAAAAAAAAAAAAAGAGTGCAGAACATAACGTAATATTTATGTTAGTTATCCTTCAGATTGTCTTCTCATTATTCAGATTTTTGCCTGATTGATAAAGATTAAGCCATCTAAAAGGTGGCACGGGCATGAATAGCCCGTAAGTGGTGGCCCTTTTGAGCCATTACCAGTATCAAGAGCTGATACTGGAGATCTGTGGAGGTGCGACTGCACCCTGCGTGTCGGGAGATGTCTCCCGTCAGATTTTTACCGTATGTCTTGTCAATATAAATCCCACCCAACGCTCTAATTGTAAGTTCGTTTAGCTCTTTTTACACCTGTTCATTCCAGTCAGCAGTGTAATGGTTTATATAAATCACGAATGAAACTTCTAAATATAAATATAAACATACAAATTCCCTTAAGAGCAAACATGGTATAAATTGCTAGCCAGAATGACAAGAGAGAGTGAGATTACGGGCTATTCATGCCCGTGCCACCTCTTGGGTGGCTTAATCTTCATCAATCAATGTGAGGCAGACGTATCCCGGCATCTGGTCCCCAGCTTCCGACGTCAAAGCATGGCAGCGAATTAATTTTCAGATTTATTTTGTAATAATAGATTCGTCACAACTCTTTATTGTCAGGTGTGTACGGTCACTGTCAGGTGTGTACGGTCATTGTCAGGTGTGTACGGTCATAATAAATAATCATGGAAGGTCCTCCCCGCCCCCTCAACTAGCTTGTTAATGTTGGCAATGTGTAGGGTGATTACAGTAAGGCGGGGGGGGGGGGAGAGGAGGGAGGGGATGCTCTTATCTTGTCTTATCTCGCACTGGTGTTATCACCTTGTATCCAGCATCCCCCCCCTGCCCCTACTTCTGAAATGTAGGGGCAGGGGGGGATGCATCCCCCTACGAGCATATGAAATGTATGCTCGTGATGGGGTGCATCTATCGAGAGCTGGGGTTGTTGCTGTTGCGAACTCGCTAGAAGAAGTGGTTAGAGGTGTTTGTTTGGGTTTAAACTGTTAGTAGATAGAGGTATGGGAATTGATTTGGAGGAAGGAGGTAATAAAAGTATGTGTTTGTGGGAGAAAGGAATTGGCAAAACGATCAGGGAAAGAGAAGGTCCGCAAAATAACAATTCACTTAGGGTATACTACACTAACAGTAGAAGTCTAAGAAATAAAATTAACGAATTAAATGCTCTTGTCTGCACAGAAAAAATAGATATTATTGCACTTACCGAAACGTGGATGAATGTAGAAAATAGAGAACTATTAGCTGAATATCAAATATATGGATTTAAACTATTTCACACAGATAGATATATTAGACGAGGAGGTGGAGTAGCCATATATGTTAGGGACAATTTGAAATGTAGTCTCAAAGAGGGAATCAAAACAGAGCCACACACAGAAACTATTTGGATTGAATTAAACGAAAAAGCTAATAATATTATAATAGGAGTAATATATAGGCCACCAAATTTAGACAGAATGGAAGCAAAGCATCTATGGGATGAAATATCTAGAGCATCTAGATCTAACAGTATTTATGTCATGGGTGACTTTAATTTTAGCGGAATAAACTGGTTGAACAAAACAGGGAATAGTGAAGCAAAAGATTTTCTAGAATTAATTGACGATTGCTTTCTTACGCAACACATTAAGGAACCAACACGGGAAAATAATATTTTAGATTTAGTGTTAACTAACAGGGAAACGCAAATTAATGACATCGAAATAGGGAGTGAGCTAGGGAGCAGTGATCACAAAGAAATCAGATTTAGCATAGAATGGAATAGACCAGTAGGAGAAAATTCTGTTAAAGTGCCAGATTTTCGAAAAGCTGATTTTAATAGCCTAAGAAATTTTTTGGGTCAAATTGATTGGAAAGTCTTGGGTATGGGGTGTGGGCCGGTCTTGGAGCGAGACATGAACCCAGCGATAGGTGACTTAAATGGGGATTTCGATGTGGATTCAATATATAACTTATTTAAGAATATTCTAAACAAAGCACAGGAACGTAGTATACCATACAAATTGAATAGATCGTATACTAATGACCCAAAGTGGATAACAAAGAATTTGAAGAACCTTATAGGTAAAAAGAGAGCTTGGTACAAAAGGATTAAAATGGGGAGGTCACTTTAGAACAGGAATTCGTACAACTGGTTAGAAATGTTAAAAAAGAGATAAGGAAAGCAAAAAGAAACTATGAAGTTCGCATAGCAGGGCAAGCAAAGACAAATCCTAAAGGGTTTTTTCAGTTATATCGTACTAAGACTAGGGAAAGGATAGGTCCATTAAAAACTGAGACAGGTCAAATAACAGATAGTGATGAAGAGATGAGTAGTATTTTTAATAAATATTTGTATCTGTATTTACTAAAGAGGAACTTAACAATATGCCTTCAGCCGAACAAATCTATGTGGGTGGGGACGAGGACAGGTTGACGAGTTTAGCAGTTACCAGGGAGGATGTTCTTAAACAAATAGTAAAACTCAAACCAAACAAATCCCCAGGGCCGGATGAAGTGTTTGCTAGGGTGCTTAAAGAATGCAAAGAGGAGCTTTGTGACCCACTGTCAACCATATTTAATAAATCAATAGAGTCAGGCAGAGTGCCAGAGTTTTGGAAAGTTGCTAATGTGATACCAGTTTTTAAGAAAGGAGATAGATCACTTGCGTCTAACTATCGACCAATTAGCCTAACGTCTATTGTGGGAAAGTTACTCGAATCTATAATAGCAAATAAAATTCGTCTTCATCTTGAAAAACATAAATTAATAATTGAGTCGCAACATGGTTTTATAAATGGCCGTTCATGTTTAACAAATTTGTTATCTTTTTATTCTAGCATTGTTGAGGCAGTTGATAGTGGTAAGGATTGCGATGTTGTATACCTTGACTTTAGCAAAGCTTTTGATACAGTGCCACATGAAAGACTGATTAAAAAAATAGAGTCTCATGGTATTGGGGGTGCTATATTAAGCTGGATTAGGGCATGGCTATACCAAAGGAAACAGAGAGTTAGTATAAATGGAATCAAGTCAGAGTGGGAAAATGTTGTAAGTGGAGTGCCTCAAGGCTCTGTCCTGGGACCTCTGTTGTTTATAATATATATAAATGATTTAGATTCAGGTTTGAGTAGCAACATTTGCAAATTTGCCGATGATACGAAAATCGGTAGGGAAATTAATTCGGAGGAGGACTCACTATCACTTCAAGTTGATCTAGATAGGGTTTTGAAATGGTCAAAGGATTGGCAGATGCAGTTTAATGCTGATAAATGTAAAGTTCTGAGGTTAGGTAATGATGATAGAGTTACAAGATACGAGCTAGATGGTGTTGTGATTGCGAAGTCGGATTGCGAAAGGGATCTGGGAGTTATGATTAGTAAGAATTTAAAACAAAAGGATCAATGCATAAATGTTCGTAATAAGGCAAATCGGACACTTGGATTTATTAATCGCAGCGTTAGTAACAAGACACCTGGTGTGGTTCTCAAGCTATATCTTGCTCTAGTTAGGCCCCATTTAGATTATGCAGTTCAGTTTTGGTCGCCATATTATAGAATGGATATAAATTCACTTGAACGTGTCCAGCGTAGGATGACTAAGTTAATTCCCCAAATTAGAAATCTTTCATATGAAGAAAGATTAACAAAGCTTAAGTTGCATTCACTGGAAAGGCGAAGAGTTAGGGGCGACATGATAGAGGTTTACAAGTGGGTGAATGGACATAACAAGGGGGATATTAATAGGGTATTAAAAGTATCAACACAGGACAGAACACGAAACAATGGGTATAAATTGGATAAGTTTAGATTTAGGAAAGACTTGGGTAAATACTGGTTCAGTAACAGGGTTGTAGATTTGTGGAACCAATTGCCGCGTAACGTGGTGGAGGTGGGGTCCCTCGATTGTTTCAAGCGCGGGTTGGACAAGTATATGAGTGGGATTGGGTGGTTATAGAATAGGAGCTGCCTCGTATGGGCCAATAGGCCTTCTGCAGTTACCTTTGTTCTTATGTTCTTATGTTCTCTATTTTTCCTCCCTCTCTTCTCTCTCTCTCTCTCTCTCTCTCTCTCTCTCTCTCTCTCTCTCTCTCTCTCTCTCTCTCTCTCTCTCTCTCTCTCTCTTTCTCTCTCTCTCTCTCTCTCTCTCTCTCTCTCTCTCTCTCTCTCTCTCTCTCTCTCTCTTACGAATTTAACAGTCCATTAAAAAAAAAATACTTTGTCTAACCATAAACGTACGAACCCAAACAACCCACCTAACCTTTTCAGGCCGTTGCATAGAAAACGGCAATGTCACGGTGCATTCATTTTTACTAGTGCGTCGCATTTTTTAACGCATAGGTAGATTCTATCCAAAAGCAATTGCGTCGTATTAGGTGAGAGCTCGAGGAAGTTAAATGCGTATCACACACTTGGCAAGAATAGGAGAACATAGAAAATGGAGTAGTGTTTAGGGCCTGTAATCCCTTAATCTTATCAGTACCTCCAAGGGACTTGGATCCAAGTTTATTCGTATTATATAACAGAAAATGATAATAATCTCAGTGCATAAATAAGTTTCTATGGTGAGGCTGCAGAACAGGAAGCCATTGGCTTGTGAAAGGTCTTTTCCCACATTGCTCCTGAAAGAATAACTTTACATCAAAATAAGATTTAAGAATACGTGACAAGTATTAACTATATTCATTTAAGGTCTTCGTTAAAAAACAAAATATTTCACATTTTCAGACTGGGCGAGGACAGCATACTAAATACCATCAACCATTATATACTTATTTACAGATATATAATATATAAAGCAAAGTTCTCCTGTGTACACACACAAAAATTAGCAAATAATATGAACATTCACTAAAGAGTTTCACTGTGGGTACTGTTAACCAGTAGGTTTACACATCTTTACTAGTGTAATCACTTCTGCCAATTGATATTGTAGTTATTTTGTCATGTGAAACTTTGCTACAATGTACCTTTTCATCTTACCTGATATGTTACATTAAGGACCTGCCCGAAACGCTATGCGTGTTAGTGGCTTTGCAAGAATGTACACACACACCAATTTTATGTAATCTCACCAACCCATTGCACCTTCTTGTGAATAAATTATTATTATTATTATTACTATTATTATTATTATTATTATTATTATTATTATTATTATTATTATTATTATTATTATTATTAGGAATATCACAGTTTTGTATTGTTGTATATATATATATATATATATATATATATATATATATATATATATATATATATATATATATATATATATATATATATATATATATATATATATATATATATATATATATATATATATATATATATATATATATATATATATATATATATATATATGTCGTACCTAATAGCCAGAACGCACTTCTCAGCCTACTATTCAAGGCCCGATTTGCCTAATAAGCCAAGTTTTCATGAATTAATGTTTTTTCGTCTACCTAACCTACCTAACCTAACCTAACCTAGCTTTTTTTGGCTACCTAACCTAACCTTACCTATAAATATAGGTTAGGTTAGGTTAGGTAGGGTTGGTTAGGTTCGGTCATATATCTACGTTAATTTTAACTCCAATAAAAAAAATTGACCTCATACATAGAGAAAAGGGTTGCTTTATCATTTCATAAGAAAAAAATTATAGTAAATATATTAATTCAGGAAAACTTGGCTTATTAGGCAAATCGGGCCTTGAATAGTAGGCTGAGAAGTGAGTTCTGGCTACTAGGTACGACATATATATATATATTTTTCACTGAGTGCCCCGAGATACTCCTCGGACAGTTACTCCATGAGAATGCTCGTATTTTTCTTGGTTGGTGTACTGTTCTGATTCGGAGGCTTACCCAGGAATTCTGGGCTTCCCAGGAGCTGGTACAGATACTGGGGATCCACCTTGGGATCCAGTGTTACGTTAGACCGTCGATTCCTCGCGGTGGTGGTCGCCAGGTCGCCCGACGGCATTTTCTCATTGTTTTCCGGTCGGGCCTCTGGTTTGTGGTTCTGCGTCCTATCGTACAGGCTGGGGTTAGACAGGCGCACAGTCAGTTCGTAGAACATAACGTGACTGAGGTGCTGTTTCAGCCGGTAAAGAAGGTAAATGTCTCCGATCTTACAGTTGCTGACGACGTCTTGGCTAATCTTCCGGACCTTGTCGGTGCCGTGGATGGGTCTGGCAATACGGATGAGCAGCACCCGCACCCATGGCAACCACATCAGGAAGAGAAAGATTATGTAGCAACACGTGACCAAGCAGAGCACAATCAGCCACACCCACAGGGCTAAGAACACCTTCTCGTACAACTCCATGATGGTTAGGTGACACCCAAACTTTTCGGTTCGTCTATTGACCAGTTGGTTCTCGGAGGAGAGCTCGCAGGAGGCAAACGGGGGAAAGGTTTGTGACATGTAGTCGGAGAATGTTTGCGGGTCGCGATCGAATGGATACGACTTGATGCCGTACTGAATGAACCGTCCCTGCAAGATGAAGTCTAAGAATTGCAAGGCAAAGACATCGACTAAGAGCGCGACGACGTTGACACAAAGGTACTTCCAATAAAGACCGTCGTGGGTCCTAAGGTTGACAAGCATGTAATGGGCCGCCTTTTCCACCAGCTGGGCTTCGACCCTCTCGTATTGGTGAGCGTTCGCTGCCAGGTCCTCCAACAGTTTCTTGCACCTGCTGTTATCAAAGCTCTTAGACATCTTCCGCGGGATGTAGTAGACCGCAGCAAGGAACAGGAACGACCAGGATATCCAGCGGTAGAAGAGCAAGTAGCGCCTGACCCCGTCGTCCTCGACGTAGGGGTAGGAGAGGCAGATGTTGATGTAATCTAGACGCACTTGGGTCTCCGCGTTGAAGTGCGAGACGCAGCTAATGACGTCACGGTGATACCTGAAGCAAAACAAACAATACATCGGAAAAGGTCTTTAGGAACAACTCACAAAAATTGGACACTTACACAGTATGCCCTTGTTAGTGATGTTCAGTGTGGCATATCTACATTTTCTGTTTACTTTAGGTTTTGTGAATTTGAATTTGTTTGTATGTATGTGAATGTATAATTGAGTATTTTTGTGAATTTAACTTCTTTAAAATAACACGTTTAGCTAAGGTGAATAATTTTTTGTAAAACAATCATGAATTAATGCGGATAATCAGAGCGACAAACAAGTAAAATATACACTTAAGAGAATATTAATCATGCTTTACTGCTACTAAAATATTCTTGAGACTATAGTTCTAAACTATAGTCTCTATAGTTTATTTACTATAGGAGGTAAACCATTTTTTTTTTTAACATTTAATCTTCGCTTTCCCAGACCAGTTATCATGTTTACAACAGTGTCCTCGCCAGTACCACCCCAAATTACAGTCCTGTTAACAATCTTAAGAAATTACCTTCTACTGTATTAGCTAAGGCCCCCCATCCCGACAAAGATTAACCCCACCTTCCTCTCCACAACACCCCCCCCCCCATTATCATTAGACGTTGAGATGTAAGTCTGGTCCTAATCACACACTCAGACCTTGGCAAAGCACTCGGGAGAGTGCAAAAGACTTGGTATAAAGCTACCCAAATGGTGGCACGGGCCCGTAAGACCCCATCCCTTACACACATGTCATACCTAACTTGGGAGTTATACCAGTTTAAATTATCCCGACCTCACCTGAAGAATCCCCAGCGCTACCTGGGTAGGGAAGGGTCAGGGTATGGAGTCATATTAGTGATCTATATACGCTACCTCAGTTACAGCCCCGCTCCTGTGCCAGTTAAGTCTTCTACGGGGCTCACCATAACCCGTGCTACTTTGTAACTTTTGTTCCGAGAAACTGAATCTAAAAACAACAACATACGCCACCTTCAGCACGGGGGAGACATCTCCCCGTCACGCAGAGTGCAGTCGCACCTCCACAGATCTCCAGTATCAGCTAATCATACTGATAATGGCTCCAAAGGGCCACCACATACGGGGTTATTCATGCCCGTGCCACCTTTTGGGTGGCCTAATCTTCATCAATCAATCAATCTACCTTCAGCTACACACAGAGATCACACTAACGTGATGCATCAAATGAATGATGTATCTGGGATGCTCCCAGACGCAGGTTCGAATCCCCGTCACTGCCCTTGTGGATTTGTTCACCTTCAGCTAATTATTGAGCCAGAGTGTCGGTGCCAACACCTACCAGGAGTACCAGGTGGTGAAGAAGCCCCCAAGCAGGACGCAGAAGGTCCAGCGGTAGTGCATCCTGAGCACCAGGCCGTCGCAAGAGGCTGCACACACCCTGTTGGCCGAACTCTTGACGGCGTTGATGACGCTCCCCACCAGGTTACGGATGTCCACGCCCCCCGGCATCTTCACCAACCGGGGGAGACGACAGTTAAAGCAGAGATCAGTCGGAGGTTACCCCAGGTCCTGTAAAGGGGGAAAAAAGAGTCCTTTCAAGCGTAGGAGAGACATATTTGTAAATCTATGTTTTGAGTATAAGTAAAAGCTATCTCGTGTGGGCCAATATAAGTCCTTCAGAGTATCCTTCAATCACACATTATGTCTGTAGGTTAGATTAGCATTTTAAAAGCACTACAATCACCTTCTGTGGTTGATTGTTCAGTAAATCCCTGAACTGTATGTTTAACAGATCTCTCTCACCCTGTCCATGGAGGACAGAAGAAAATGTATATATTCTGGTTAGCATTGTTAATGTGTGGCCACGTCTGTGGTAGAAAATAAAAACAAATCACACATTCTTGTGTTGGTGTGGGATGGAGGGAGGGGAGGGAATATCAGGAGAAAGCGCCAAGCATTACGATTATATAACACTTGGAAGGGGCCAGGATAAGTTATTAGTATTTAATTGTTATTATTACCATAGAAGAAAATCCTTATTTCTTTAACGTAACTGGCTTGAATTGATGGGACAATATCTCAGCTCCATGAAGTTATTTCAGGTTTCATTGAAACGTGAAAATAACTTCATGGAGCTGAAATATAGCCGAGATATTTTCACGTTTCATTGAAACGTGAAAAGCGATATCAAGGTAGTGGCACATAACTGGTCAAACTATTTGTGACGCACCCTGTAGATTGCAATATGTTATTTTAATATAGCAATAGTCAGTGCAGATGGGTTGCACACTAGCGTCTATATTATGGAAGTGTAGTGAAATTGAAGCACCTCAATTTGAACGCTCGTTGAACTAATGCATTGGCCACGAGGTCAGGTGGCATGGTCTAGGTTAGCACGCTGTCGTCCAAGACAGTAGCACTTCAAATGACAGGCTCGTCAAGTGGTGCGAAAGTGTTGTATTGAGAGTCAGGAGATAAAGCAAACTTTTTCTAGTCGAAAGCCACCAGATGTCTTATCAATGAATTGAAATCCTCAGATTAGGCAAAATTGTAATTAAATTTTGTCAGTAAAGATGGCATGAAGAAGGCATATTATTAGAAGACATATTATTATTCATAATAATAATCAATGAGTTTATTTTGTCTTTGGATGAACTTTTAATTTCTGAAAGTCAGGTGTAATGAGGCTCCTGAAAAAGGACACATCGAGCACTGTTTATGTAGGGCCAGACGTCACTCTCTGTATTTCTGTATGTAGGTTATATTAGCATTTTTATAACCTGTGCAATCACATTCTGTGGTCGATTGTTCAATAAATCCCTGAACTATATGTTTAACAGATCTCTCACCCTGTCCATGCAGGACAGAAGAAAATGTATATATGCTGGTTGGCACTGTAAATGTGTGGCCACGTCTGTGGTAGAAAGTAATAATACTAATCATAATAATAATAATAATAATAATAATAATAATAATAATAATAATAATAATAATAATAAAACGCATCAGGCTCGGCGAGGAAACAGGCTTACAGGTTCCAGAAGAACATAGGAAATATCATCATGTTGGAGAAATGCCCGACAGATCACTGGAAAATTATCTAACACGTAATTCGTTGTGTCGGGGGACAGGCAGCCAGTGTATTTATACATATTTGGCTTATATCGAGGTCCCCCCTCTTCCCCCAAGGACAAACTGATTAACTCCTGGGTATCTGTTTACTGCTAGGTGAACAGAGACATTAGGTGATAGGAAATACGATCAACTATATCTGTTCCGCCCAGGATTCGAACCCCATTGTGAGTCGAGAACGAAGCCGACTGCACTACCGGAAGCCTATTACGGAGTTACAAACCAAATAAGATTACCACTGAGATTTAACAGAGCAGAAGTTGTTATAACCGTCGGACACGATCTTACTGAAGCCAACACACAGATCATAAACACTCATCCACCGTATGGTAGACATGAGTAACACACTCAGTGGGCTAGTCAGAGGCTTAGGGCCCGGGCAGGAATATCCTGACAAAGAAAAATTGCCATTATGGGTGACCCCCCTACATCCCCCCCCCCACCCTTCCTTACCAAGCAAGCTCAAGTCTACTGGCACTAACTAGTGTCTAGCGCCTTTGTGATACCAGAGGCCATGTTTACCGACTGCTCTATTCCACCAGAGGCCGACCCTACACCAGTAAGACCCGTCAACCCGGACCTGGCAAGCGCCAGCACTTCGGCAGCTTCCCCACCATTCCAGCATACCCCCCCCCCCCCCCCCATTCCCTCACCCACATATTGAACCGTTAATCATTCATTTCCAACTATGAATTTTCACAGTATAACAAGTAGTTATAAGTGGTTCTTATCACTAGCAGCTCAAGCTGTAAACGCTCAGCCAGTCCAGTGTAAGTACGAACCAGAGTTGACTGTTAACAGTCTAAGTGTTAACTCTTGGGTCTTGGACATCAGAAACATCCAAGTTATTATCAGCGAAATTTGGTTGTGAGTTGTGGGGGAGTGAGAGTTGAAAGTACTGGATGTATCAGTGAGCTGGTTCCTGGTGAAATATCCATATCCTCGCTTGTTATTTTAATGTAAAAGATTCATTCCCAAATTTGCTCTTCACGGGCAGTTCACTCTCTCTCTCTCTCTGTTGGATGGTCATGTAAACGTTCATTTTTGTTTACACAAATTATTCAATATAATTTTGATCCAGTCTTGTCGCTGTATAATGTAGATGAAGGAGCGAGCTAGCCTAATGTATGCAAGCCGATGACATTGCTGAGCAAACATTGATATAAACGAACGAATCTACACTCATTTGAATATGAACATGAATCTGCATCTGCGTCCGTTTAGATGCAGAGTCACGCACAGGACACATGAGCAGAGTGACACAGAGGATACACGAGCAAAGGGGGGGTCCAGAGAACACACACATTTACAAAGTTGCATCATAATTTACACAAACTGTTACTTGCAGTGCTGATGCATCAGTACTTCCTCACTCACCTCCACCAGAGGTCGCTGCTCCCTCGCTAAACCGGAGTACAGATAACACTACTCGAGTCGCTTCTAGTTCTCAGAACTACTGATCTCAGACATCTCTTATCTGTGGGGGTCTCGATCTTATCTGCAGCATCGACTTTTTTTAAGATTATATTCCAAACGCCAATTATCCGTAGCGATGATTCCTGTTCTATTTTCTTTATTATATCTTTACTAGGTGAATTTGCTGACCATTCCCCATGATGTAACCCACAACAGCTGTCTAACTCCCAGGTACAAATATATGTGTTGCTATGTAAACAGAGGTGATCAGATGTGAAACAGATGTAAACAGAACCCGTGATCTTTGGTTATATACCGGCGCAATAGGCTACTGCGCAACACGGCCCTTATATCTGTGTGTGTTTTGTACTCACCTAGTTGTGCTTACAGGGGTTGAGCTTTCGTTCTTTGGTCCCGCCTCTCAACCGTCAATGTACTGGTGTACAGATTCCTGAGCTTTTCGAGTTCTATCATATCTACATTTGAAACTATGTATGGAGTCAGCCTCCACCATATCACTTCCTAATGTATTCCATTTACTAACTACTCTGACACTGAAAACGTTCTTTCCAATGTCTCTGTGACTCATTTGTGTACTCAGCTTCCACCTGTGTCCCCTTGTGTGTGTACCACCCGTGTTAAATAATCCATCCTTGTCTACCCCCGTCAATTCCCCTGAGAATTTTGGATGTGGTGATCATGTCTCCCCGAGTTCTTCTGTCTTCCAGCGACGTGTGGTGCATTTCACGCAGCCTTTCTTCGTAACTCATGCTTCTTAGTTCTGGGACTAGCCTATTGGCATAATTCTGAACTTTTTCCAGTTTCGTCTTGTGCTTGACAAGGTACGGGCTCCATGCTGTGGCCGCATAATCCAAGATTTGTCTTACATACGTGGTATACAAGGTTCTGAAAGATTCCTTACACAGGTTTCTGAAAGCAGTTCTGATATTAGCCAGCCTCGCATACACCGCCGATGTTATTCTTTTAATGTGGGCTACAGGAGACAGGTTTGGCGTATTATCAACTCCTAAATCTTTATGAACAAATCCACAAGGGCCGTGACGAGGATTCGAACCTACGTCCGAGAGGATCCCAGACGCGTCTTAATCGACTGAGCTACGACATGGATACTCTCGGACGTAGGTTCGAACCCTCGTCACGGCCCTTGTGGATTTGTTCATTTGATACATACGCTATTGTGATATCTGTGTGTCCTAGATCTTTCTCTCTGTCCGTTTCGTGAAGGACTTCATCTCCCATTCGGAATCCAGTGTCTGACCTCCTATATCCTCCTCCTAGTTTCATTACCTTACATTTACTTGGGTTGAACTTTAGTAGCCATTTGTTAGACATTCATTCAGTCTGTCTAGGTCATCTTGTAGCCTCATACTATCATCCTCTGTTTTAATCCTCTCATAATTTTTGCATCATCAGCAAACATTGAGAGGAACGAGTCTATTCTCGAGCTGTCCACTCAGTTGTCATGCCCAAGCTGTGTGTGTGTGTGTGTGTGTGTGTGTGTGTGTGTGTGTGTGTGTGTGTGTGTGTGTGTGTGTGTGTGTGTGTGTGTGTGTGTGTGTGTGCGTGCGTGTGTGTGCGTGTGTGTGTGTGTGTGTGTGTGTGTGTGTGTGTGTGTGTGTGTGTGTGTGTGTGTGCGTGCGTGCGTGCGTGCGTGCGTGCGTGCGTGCGTGCGTGCGTGCGTGTGTGTGTGTGTGTGTGTGTGTGTGTGTGCGCGGTCCATCAATCCAGCGGTCGACCCGATAGACCCATTCATACATTTTAACACGCTGTTTATTCAAAATGGGAATAAACCCTGTTAAAATATTCAAGACCATTTGAACTGAAATATGGTGTACCACTGATGATTTACACCCTGAACCAATGGCACCTTTCCAAGGAAATGCTAACAGAGACAAACTTAACTAACGCTGCCACCATCCTGTCTTACTGAGATTAATTCATATACAGCAATAAGTCAGGAAACATTACTGAATGGAGAGAGTTCTCTTCTATATGGTATCACTTAATGACCGTATGTTAATTATCTGAACCTAGAGGATTGGGGAGGTTCAATAATCCCGAATGCACATACGGGACATGACAAAGGGAAGGCGAGTGACTCAAACAGATGGCAAATTTAACAAGAGTTTATTTAGGACAAAATTATGATATTCACCAAAACTATTGTAAGTCCCTACACAAACACTGGCAAATGTTAAATAAATTTTGACAAGGAATGATAGTAGGCATCCATCAGTCTCAGAAGACTATGGAGTTGCGCTCTGGTTGTCGGTCTGGAGTGGCCTCACCAGGGCGCAAAGCCTGGGTAGGTTGATTCGGGGGAGAAGCTTGTGGAATGAAAGAAGGAATAATAACATCAGAGATTACACACACACACATTATCATCTGAATATTACCATAGGCCCGGCTGACATTGACTCACTGTCTGTACCTATGGCCGCGTGGTGACCTGCGGGTTATGATATACACAAAAGTCCTAAGTGCCTACACACTGGTAATGTGACGAGGAATTTCGACACGAACAATACATCAGAGTCCACACTTTACCATCTTGAAAACCCCGGCCTCTTACCGTAGGTAAGGTTGTCTCCACCCTTGGCTCCGTGATGTCCTCGCCGACCCTCTCGTCACTCGTTCCAGGCACTCTAATTTTTATTCTCCCCCCCCCCACACACACACAGGGGGTCTATATGCACCGAAAACCCCACCAACAGATGTCAGCTGGTGGGTTTTCGTTGGCTTTATTATTATTATTATTAACATCTTTATTAACAAAATTAATTACAATTTTGCCTAATCTGAGGATTTTGATAGCCTTATTAAAGTGAGGATAATGCTGGTATTCACTGTCACGCAGGACAGAGGGTCATACATAAGACAATAGGTCTAAACTGTAGGCTGAAGCACATATATATCATGGTTACAATCAACGTTGGCTCAACTACAAAGAGGGAATAGCTTATATAGGGTGGTCTGCTCCACATCACACTACACTCAGCCTTCTAAGAATTTAATTAAAATTTGTTTTACAAGTGGTTATCAGGACTGAATCTCGTAACTACTCGGGTGACGGCCTATACTTTCATGTGTCTAGGTATTTACTAGACTCGTAACAAATGAGGAGGTGGGTGAGCGCCTGACTCCAACGCACTTTCAAGCAGAGGGATTAAGAATGAGGGAGCCTCATCAACAAAGGCCAAATATTCATTCTACGCGGACGCCTGTTCATCAATGAAGAACATTTTACACACGACTTACAACTGATAATGTTCGAGCATTTCTCGACCAGTGCTTCGCTGATGACCTCTGTTCGAATGGGAACTTTGTAAATGCTCCACTCAAGTACTACAAATGCAAATAATTACAAACAGAACCTAAACACTTAACCTAACCTAAATACGCATAATATGCAAATATATATCATTAATTTATATTTAAACAAATTCCCGAATCAGCATGTTACAATTGATGAATGCGTCTTTGGGGTCGACCGCTGGATGGAATGGACTTGGTCTGAGGACGGGTTGCCAAATGTTTCACGCACTTACGGTAAATTAAAATAATTACCAACAGAACCAATACAGCTAACTTTACCTTCCCATGACCTAACTATACATAGAATTATAATAAATATATAATTATTTAAAAATAAGAAAAAATATCGTTATGGTTTACACAATGGATAATTTTTATTTGTTTTGAGGTCGGCTTTGGCTTGGACAAACATAGACCACGTTCTTGCAAGTAGATAAAATATTTGCATGAAAATTTGCAACAGAATTAAGCACACTACAACAACTATAAATAGCAAAATATGTTGCTGGACTTCATATGACCGGAGTTATGTGTTGCTGGACTTATTGTGGCCGGAGTTGTGTGTTACTGAACTTCTTGCGGCCGGAGTTATGTGTTGCTGGACTTCTTGTGGCCGGAGTTATGTGTTGCTGGACTTATTGTGGCCGGAGTTGTGTTACTGGACTTCTTGTGGCCGGAGTTATGTGTTGCTGGACTTATTGTGGCCGGAGTTGTGTGTTACTGAACTTCTTGTGGCCGGAGTTATGTGTTGCTGGACTTCTTGTGGCCGGAGTTATGTGTTGCTGGACTTATTGTGGCCGGAGTTGTGTGTTACTGGACTTCTTGTGGCCGGAGTTATGTGTTGCTGGACTTCATGTGACCGGAGTTATGTGTTGCTGGACTTATTGTGGCCGGAGTTGTGTGTTACTGGACTTCTTGCGGCCGGAGTTATGTGTTGCTGGACTTCTTGTGGCCGGAGTTATGTGTTGCTGGACTTCATGTGACCGGAGTTATGTGTTGCTGGACTTCTTGCGGCCGGAGTTGTGTTACTGGACTTCTTGCGGCCGGAGTTATGTGTTGCTGGACTTATTGTGGCCGGAGCTGTGTGTTACTGGACTTCATGTGACCGGAGTTATGTGTTGCTGGACTTATTGTGGCCGGAGTTATGTGTTGCTGGACTTCTTGCGGCTGGAGTTATGTGTTGCTGGACTTCTTGTGGCCGGAGTTATGTGTTGCTGGACTTCTTGTGGCCGGAGTTATGTGTTACTGGACTTCATATGGCCGGAGTTATTTCTTGCTGGACTTATTGTGGCCAGAGTTATGTGTTGCTGGACTTATTGCGGCCGGAGTTATGTGTTGCTTGACTTATTGTGACCGGAGTTGTGTTACTGGACTTCTTGTGGCCGGAGTTATGTGTTGCTGGACTTCTTACGGCCGGAGTTATGTGTTGCTGGACTTATTGTGGCCGGAGTTATGTGTTGCTGGACTTATTGTGGCCAGAGTTATGTGTTGCTGGACTTCATGTGGCCGGAGTTGTGTGTTACTGGACTTCTTGCGGCCGGAGTTATGTGTTGCTGGACTTCTTGTGGCCGGAGTTATGTGTTGCTGAACTTCATGTGGCCGGAGTTATGTGTTACTGGACTTCATGTGGCCGGAGTTATGTGTTGCTGGACTTATTCCGGCCGGAGTTATGTGTTACTGGACTTCTTGTGGCCGGAGTTATGTGTTGCTGAACTTCATGTGGCCGGAGTTATGTGTTACTGGACTTCATGTGGCCGGAGTTATGTGTTGCTGGACTTATTCCGGCCGGAGTTATGTGTTACTGGACTTCTTGTGGCCGGAGTTATGTGTTGTTGGACTTATTGTGGCCGGAGTTGTGTTGCTGGACTTCTTGCAGCCGGAGTTACGTGTTGCTGGACTTCTTGTGGCCGGAGTTATGTGTTACTGGACTTCTTGTGGCCGGAGTTATGTGTTACTGGACTTCTTGTGGCCGGAGTTGTGAGTTACTGGACTTTTTTTGGTCGTAGCGGACTGCCGCCGGCATGAAGGCCCAGAGGGCTACGGTGATAGCAGCCAGCCCAGCACACACCCACATGCTGACGGCGTAGCTGCCGGTGGCGTCCCTGATCATGCCTGAGGGAGGAAGGGAGAGGTGGAGCTGAGCGCTGACCAGCTGCTGGTAACTTTAGACTAGCGTGTGTTACATGCGCGTGTTATAAATCTCAAGTTATATGGTTTGATCTTTGATACTGTATAACACGCTTAAACAACATACATTTAAGACCAACAAGCAATAAGTAACCCGCTATTGTATTAGTCGTTTTATTAACGTTATGCAAGTATCCGTAGGAACACGAGAGTTAAGTAGGTGTATCTAAAATGTTCACTCTGACCCACAGTATGGAAATATTTGTATTGCACTGTGTTCTAAGTCAAACGAATCAATCTAAATCTAAATATATTATATTTAAAAAAATCGAGCTGTGAAATAAATCGAAATTATAGCCATATAAATGGTGATGGAGAGAAGTGGAACCGCAGGGTCCTTCCCTCCCCCCGGAGCCTCCATGTCTACCAACCTATGGAGGGTCCAAAGATGACGAAGCCTGTGCCAACAAGCAGCATCATGGACCCCATGGCGGACATCATCTTCTCCAGGCCCACGTAGTGAAGAGTGAGGAGGTTGTAGAGACTGTTGATTACCCCCAAGGAGCACCCCCACACACCCATCATCGCTACCTGCCACCGGTAGTCGTCCAACACGCTGAAGACTGGAAATATTAGGAGGGTAGAGTAGCCTAAGCTCCTCTAGGTAGAATAGCCTAAGCTCCTGTGCCAGCTAAGTCCATTACGGGGTCGATTGATTGATTGATGAAGATTAAGCTACCCAAAAGGTGGCACGGGCAAGAATAGCCCGTAAGTGGTGGCCCTTTGGAGCCATTATCAGTATCAAGAGATGATACTGGAGATCTGTGGAGGTGCAACTGCTCACTGCGTGACGGGAGATGTCTCCCGTGACTACGGGGTCACCATAAAAGGTGATATAAAGTGCTACTTGAAACGTTTTGTTCCGAGTTGCTGAATCTAAAACAACTACAACATATTGAAGTACGCTGGGTTGTGTGTGTGTGTGTGTGTGTTCAGCAACGATATTGGCAATTATTCTCTGCATGTGTGAGGAGCTAAAAAAAAAAAAAAGTTCCAGGAGGTATTTAACCCTTAGCCAAAGCAATAATAAAATGCATCATCATCTAGGCGTAAAAGTATATATAATGAAGTGATAGAACCATTACGAATGGGAAAATAGTAAGAAATATTTGAACACGATTAGAAAATCTTGCTACTCCAACTACTTGGGCTGGACAGTAGAGCGACGGTCTTGCTTCATTCAGGTTGGCGTTCAATCCCCATACCGTCTAAGTGGTTGGGCACCATTCCTTTCCCCCCGTCCCATCCCAAATCCTTACCCCTAATCCCTTCCAAATGCTATATAGTCGTAATGACTTGGCGCTTTCCCCCTGATAATTCCCTCCCTCCCCTCATCAGCCACTTCATTGCTGTCTCCACCGCACGCAGGTGTGCGTATGTGTAGTCACACGCACCTGTAATCACACTAAAAATACAGTTTGAAAATTTACATATTCTCAAGGAGTTGAGAGTGTTTTCATCTGCTAAAAAAAAACTTGTGAGTTTATTATGTATTAACACAAGAAAAGTTGAAACAGCAGTACTCAGAAGTACTCAGAACAAAAGAATGCATCATTAACTATGTGTAGATATTGTAACAAGCAGTGTACAAACCGACTGTTGAAGCAGCAGCAAGGGAGACACTGGTCATGTAGTAAGCTCGCATGTTGAACCTGGGCCGGTCTGACAGCAAGGACGCTGTGATGGTAGCCACCAAACAAGCAATGGATCCTACCGTCAAGCACCAGCCAGCTGCCTCATTGGTGTGTCCAGCTGCCTGCATGGCAAAGGGCATAATGGATACAAAGTTCATGCAGCTGTTGAATGTAAACATTCCTCCCATCGCAATAATGGCCGCTGGCGGGGACTTGAGGGTGGACAAGTTGCCGATCGTCCTCTGCAACACCCTCACCAACATCCTACACTTTCCCTTATTTTCTACAGTCTCAGCACCTGATGATTTTGCATTTGAGTCGTCGTCTTGGACAGAAGAGTTATATTTTCCCTGGATGGGCCTCAAGAAGGAGGCACCAACACAGCCGTGGAGCATGACAGCACCGAAGACGAGGGTGCCGCCGGTGTAGCCAAACGCCTTGTGTAGTATCCCTATCAACACGGGCGCTATCATCGGTCCTAGGCTGAGAGCGGAGATAACACACCCATTTGCCACGCCCTTCCGTCCGGAGAAGTAATGAGGCACGATGAAATAGCACATGTTCAGCAGTGAGCCCCAGCTTAACCCTGAGATGGCAGGAAGAAAGGGAACATTATATTCTCAACCCCACACATCTCAGAGGACGACGATCCAGGACGACGTTTCGGTCCGTCCTGGATCAGTATCAAGACGGACCGAAACGTCGTCACTTCCTTTACTTTCAGATGAGTGGACTGGATATCTAATTTTCAATCACGATATTGTGACTTGCTGTCTTCAAGGTGGACATATCATAAAACACTCTACTAAACAATAATAATAAAAGATTAATTAGGATTCTGTCAGTTCCAAGAAATTATGGTTATTATGTACTCAAAATTAATCGAGTCTAAGGTAAATATATTTTCGGTATTCAATATTTTTATAGAATATGATTCTTTATGACCACAGCCCAATCTAATAACATCAACACTTTTGCAATTAATAACAGTATAATTTAAGATTTTTGGAAGATTCCATTCTGATTCAGATATTTTTGGAAGATTTCATCCTAAATATGAGATACAGTAAAAGAAAAAATCCGATTAAATGATTAAAGTGTGTTTCGGAATGGCTGACACTTGGACAAAGGATTACATAAGAATATAAGAACCAGAGAGGTTGCCCATTCCACGTGGGTTCCATTTATTTCCAACAACTTCAGATACACTGAAGATGTATCTGAAGATGGAGCGTAGTAAGGTGTTGAACTACTTTGCCTGCACCCGAATGCTTTGGGAGGGGGTCATACGTAAAACTTGGATTGGCTTCAGAAGGGGACTCCGGACTTCCTGTGATATCAGTAGAAATCCGGTTGTATGTCTTTTTATCAAGTCAATGATGGTACAGTGGAAGAGTATGTAGGCTTGGTCGCGGTTTCGCGTCACCTCAGAGCCTCAGTGGATTTTCTAATCTATCAAATATTAACGCTCCGAGCCCTACGTTCCAGGACGAACCCTTTCCCTATCTTGCAGGACAGACCCTCCGAACCCCTACCTCCCATGATGGACAAGGAGAAGAAGAGAAACGTGGTGGAGGTGGCGAAGGCGGAGAGGACGAAGGAGCAGGAGCCGAAGAAAGAAGCCATCATAGCCACCTTCCTCCAGCCGAACTCCTCCACCAGGGAGCCAACAACGAGACCGGAACTATGCCACACAAACAGCATGATGCTGAAAATCCAGCCCACGGTGGCTGAGGATGCTCCAAGCTCCAGCAGCAGCGGAGAGAACAGGATGCCGAAGCAAGGCACAACCATGCCCGCAAACAACTATGGAACAAGATTACAATAATTAATAACAAAGGGATGGGAGTGCATTCAGTGTAGCTTAAAACCTAGATAATTATTCATGTTAATTTTTGTTGATATATAGAATTAAAGGAAGTGACTTTCCTTCTATAATTAAGCCATACCAGAAAATATTTTTATTTGAAATTTCATTAAGATCGGTTACTCCACTCCGAAAGAAAATTTATCATACATATATCAAAGATAATTAAACTCCACACCTATTTCACTATTAATATTTTATAATTTTATCACAAAACTGGGTTCAAATTTTTACCTCAAAATATAAATTTGGGCCTAATATTTCTATAGTTGCTTTCATTTAATATTTTATAAAATGCAAACAATTCAAAAGCCTACAATTTGGGTACATTTCCTGAAATAAAATCACGTATTTATTAATAATGATTATACACAGAAATCCCATTATCGTGATATATCAGTTCGAAAATCTTCAGGAGCCTGGTATCTGGGTATCTGGGAACACCCAGCGCATAGGTTCGAATCCTCATCACAGCTCGAGTGGATTTTCTCAGTAATAATTATCTAATTTGGGTTGTGTTGTCACGTGATTACTGGACATGTCTGGGACTGCATGTAGAGTTGAAAGATAAAGAAGCGTGTTAATGATTATCTCTTACTGTCATCTATAATATATATATATATATATATATATATATATATATATATATATATATATATATATATATATATATATATATATATATATATAATTGTCGAGTTCTATTTAGTTTTGATTATTTAATACCCTATTATATATATATATATATATATATATATATATATATATATATATATATATATATATATATATATATATATATATATATATATATATATATATATATATTTAGTTGTCGAGTTCTATTTAGTTTTGATTATTTAATACCCTATTATTATATATATATATATAAAATATGGGAAGGGAGTACCACCTCTAGCTGGAAGAAGGGGGACCCATAGCCTCGGAGGAAACCACGCATAACGCATTAGAGGGAATGTTTAGATCCCCTCCAATACAGTTTCTGTGTGCTTTTCTCCTACCACCCCCTTCCTTGAATATTTTTTGTGCTTTATTATGCATTTGATGGTTACAAGATATACATGGGTTGATACAAAAATAATAATGCAAAAAGGTGCTTAAAGGTTATGGATCTCTTGAAGAACACAACAATGGGAAACATTGATGAATGTCACAGACGGGTTCGATCATTGTTGCAAGTCAAACACTTCTTCGAATTCCTCTGAAGTTGGACTAGTGCCCAAGACGCAACAGGCATTTCCCCTCTGAATCGCAACACTGAGGCGCTGGAACAAGAAACTTTTTGCTCTCTGGTCTTTTGTAGCGCTGATCAATTTGTCCCCCAATTCCTTCAGGAACTTCAATGCACATTTTCCCCACGAACCGAGGGTCTCCGAGCCGATCGGAACAAAGCTGTAGCAGTGTGCTAGACCTCTGTATTTAATAATTTTCTGCGATTCCCTGAAAGAAGCAGCACCACCGCTTTCACGTGTGCTGTAGTGGAGGTAGGTACTGGCCAGTGTGGCAGCGCACGTGTAGTCCCATACCACTTGCTTACCATCCTTCCAAGGTAGCAAGGTGACCCCATCAGGGCGCTTCTGAGGGTCGTTAGGTCTGGATAAGTGTGGTTCTCTTTGTGCCGGGCAGCGGGCTGTGGCGAGGCTCCTCTTGATGATGTCGTTGACTTCTTCATGTCTTGCAATTTTACCCTGTGATTTACGACATACCAGACCATGACGACCATATTGGTCTGCCATCGCAGTTCCGCAGATGCACCTATGTTCGGTGAGGATGGGGGCGGCAAGGCGAAGGGCAACTCCAATGCGGAGAGCGTCATGACTGAGGCGAGTTCCCAGGGCTGCATTGGGCACAGCAAATAAAAAATCCCCGGCGTGGGGTGCTGTTACCGCTAGGAGGCGGGCTTTGTTTTCAGCATCAGCGTTGTCAATCATTGCTGTGACAGTCTTTTCCATTATGGGGCTATCCCAGTGGGCCTGCTTGTGGTCTTTTGGGACTTGTGGTCGGGGTTGAGGGTGTGCAATGGTGTCCCATTGTCTGGCTGCTTCGATGAACGTTTGATCATGAGTTCCCGCTGTCTCTCTCATACGCTCTGGTAGGATCTGCCCTACCAATTCGTTGGCTGCTGTACATGAGGATAAGAATGCTGGAAGTGCTACCTCAGTTGCCTTTCGTATGCCTATCCCTCCAAATCTCACTGGTAGTGTATATATATATATATATATATATATATATATATATATATATATATATATATATATATATATATATATATATATATATATATATATATATATATATAGCACAAGCAAGCAACATATTTCGGAACATTCTGAGTGATAAATATACACATTTCTTCCTTTACACATGCAGTATGTTACCAGACGTACACACAAATACTTTTATGACTAGGTACTCAGACAATTTGCAGTAGACATTCAGACAATTCAACAAAAGGTTACAATCTTAGTTCAAATTTCTTATATCTCTCCAGAATATCATCAATCTTTCCGTTGTGACACATCCAGGCTATTTGTTCAGGAACAGTCCTTATCTCAGTGTTTCTATATACGTTAATCAACGGGCAATCAGGAACATAATGGGTGAGGGTGTGTGACCTTAACATATCACATAGTTTACACCTCGTGTCATTATTATTAACACCTATTCCATATTCCCAGTAATATTTGTACCCAAGCCTGAGCCGCGTGTGTATAGAGTCACTTCAAGCATTTCTCCTTTTACCATAAGTGAAATGGGGTGTTTTGACTCACACACACATGTAGCGTTGCATGTTGTTGTTGTTGTATTAGATTTAGCTACTCAGAATGAAATGTCCATGTAGCCCAGGCTATGGTGATCCCGTAAGTGTTGCATGGTTTGGCTTCCCTCATACATTTCTCCTCTCCTCGCCACTTCTGCCTGTGCCTGAATATTTCTGATTTTGCTTCTTATTTGTCTCATTGCGAAAACACATTTAACTTGTGGTTTTGATGTGGCACGTTTGGCCAAGTCATCCGCCACCTCATTGAGCGCTATTCCAACATGAGATGGAATCCACGTGAATTTCACTTTGTGGCCGTTCAGCTGTATATCATTTATCCTTTTCTTACAATCCTCAACTATGGACACGAAGATTGGATTTCGACTGTTTAAGGACTCCAGTGCTCCTCGTTATCGACAAATACAAAAACATCTTTGTCGTCATGACGTACTTCCTCCAAACACGCCAGAATGGCCTGCAGTTCAGCTTGTGTGGATGATATATAATTACTAAGTCGAAGTTCAATTTCCTGTCCACAGTTCCAAACTCAGTATATTCCCTTATTAGGACACCACACCCTGCCCTGCCATCCTCCGCCACCGACCCGTCACAATATACATGTAAACTATTGTTTCTTGGTAACCGAGATATCATGCTTCCATACAAACACCGTAATTGTCCCGGTTCATGATGAATCTTTTTCACCTTGAGGGGTACAGTTTCGACGTCTATTTTCTGTACTTTCCAGGGAGCAGACCTATTACACTGTCGAGAGGGTTTACAGCAATCAAGTACATTGTATTCCCTGAGGTTATGAGCTAATGCCCTCGTGTAGCGTGTCTCTTAGTTTCCTGGAAGTGTGTACGTCACTCAGGCAGGTCTGAACGCTCTGAAACAGCTTATCCCCTCCTTCTCTCCGCATGAAACGAATAGATACTCTAGTATTAATGTACAACCTGTCCTCTTAAAAATAACGTCGCTTTTGGCCGTTTGGCCGTATGGCCGAAAGTGGACGTAATTTGAAAATGAAAAAAAAATGAAAATAAATTTGTGATTTTTTTTCAACAACAGTAAGTTAAGGGTCCTTTGATAGGTTAGGTGGGCAGGAAATTCTCATAAAGTTTCAAAAGTTACGAAAAACGTGAATTGAAAGTTTCCTCTCCTAACCTGTCCGAGTAAGCCGGACGACTCAAACAGAAAACGGAACAGTACGTCACTTTTGTGAGTCGATTTCATTTCAAATTACGTCCAAATTTGGCCATAGTGCGCATACGAGCCAAAAGTGACGTTATTTTTAAGAGGACGGGTTGCACGGACAAGTATAAATAATTCTAATAATTATCAATAATTCTAATCCTAAGGAAGGGTAAGGTAATTGTCAGGAGAAAGAGCTAAGTCATTACGACTATAAAGTACTTCAAAGGAATATGAGGATTGGGATCTCTTGCGCCAGGTAACTACGACGAGCTCACCATAGCCCGTGCTACTTGGAACTTTTTGTTGCGAGTAGTAGTAGGCATGCATCAGTCTCAGGAGACTATGGAGTTGCGCTCTGGTTGTCGGTCTGGAGTGGCCTCACCAGGGCGCAAAGCCAGGGTAGGTTGATTCGGGGGAGAAGCTGTTACCCAGGCAGCAGGTCCCCCGAATGTTTTAGCTGAACCTAAAACAACAACAACAACTCCGTACTCACCATACAAATGGAGGCTCCGAGCGCGATCAGCCAGACCCCGGCGCAACCAGAGACGCCATCGTCAGCAGTATGTCCTAATGTCTCTCCGACCACCGTGTTCTTCGCCTCCTGGGCAGGTAAGCTCTCTGTGCTCCTAGTACTTCCTTCCCAGACATTTAGTGAGCTTTCTTGACGAGGGTCTGTCGTATGGTCGGGCTGACCTCGCTCCTTGTACACTGTCAGTTCTATGAAGGTATCGCATACTTTGCCAGAAGGTCTTGCGTAGTGGCTGAAGCCCTTGTCCACGACCCCTGCGGAGTCGTGGTTGTAACTCTCGTTCACGACCCCTGCGGAGTCGTGATTGTAACTCACGTTCACGACGTCTGCGGAGTCGTGATTGTAACTCACGTTCACGACGTCTGCGGAGTCGTGATTGTAACTCTCGTTCACGACCCCTACGGAGTCGTGATTGTAACTCACGTTCACGACGTCTGCGGAGTCGTGATTGTAACTCACGTTCACGACCTCTGCGGAGTCGTTCACAACAGCATATGTCTTCACTTGTTTTTTCTTATCACGAGTCATTTTTGTTAAATATATTATTGTATCAATTTTCTTCCTTGGAGACTGCCTTAGGCTTTTGATTCCGATTACGTATCTATGGAATTTAAAAAAAAATAAGTTTCAAGATAGAAATTAAAAACAGTATTTGCAATAAAAGAAATTATATCAATCATTTAGAACCACTTGCTCCTACTCACATCCCTGTGTGTGGATATTTGTATCTAAGAGAGAAGAGACAGATTCAGATATCGTCTGATAGACTCCAGCAAGTCATAAAAGTATTGTCTAGATCAAGTACAACCTCGTCCTTCCTACATTGTGAGGGAAAGAGCACCTGGGAAGCAAATAGGCCAAGAAGGTAAGAATTATGGCACTGACACTCACATTTTTCATCACGTGTTAATTTTCGTGATTTACACACACACACACACACACACACACACACACACACACACACACACACACACACACACATACACACACACACACACGATACACACGGTATCATCTGGGAGGGGAAATCCTGCAAGAATCAAATAGAGAGAAGGATCTGGGGGTTGATATCACACCGAACCTGTCCCCAGAGGCCCACATCAAAAGAATATCATCAGCGGCATATGCTAGACTGGCCAACATAAGAACTGCCTTCAGAAACTTGTGTAAGGAATCTTTCAGAACCCTGTATACCACTTATGTAAGACCAATCCTGGAGTATGCAGCTCCAGCCTGGAGTCCATACCTAGTTAAACACAAGACAAAGTTAGAGAAGATTCAGCGGTATGCCACCAGGCTCGTCCCGGAACTGAGAGGATTGAGCTACGAGGAAAGGCTAAAGGAGCTGAACCTCACATCCCTGGAAAACAGAAGAGTAAGGGGAGACATGATAACCACCTACAAAATTCTCAGGGGAATTGACAGGGTGGACAAAGACAAACTCTTCAGCACGGGTGGGACACGAACAAGGAGACACAGGTGGAAACTTAGTACCCAGATGAGTCACAGAGACGTTAGAAAGAATTTTTTCAGTGTCAGAGTAGTTAATAAATGGAATGCACTAGGAAGTGATGTGGTGGAGGCTGACGCCATACACAGTTTCAAATGTAGATATGATAGAGCCCAGTAGGCTCAGGAATCTGTACACCAGTTGATTGACAGTTGAGAGGCGGGACCAAAGAGCCAAAGCTCAACCCCCGCAAGCACAATTAGGTGAGTACAATTAGGTGAGTACACACACACACACACACACACACACACACACACACACACACACACACACACACACACACACACACACACACACACACACACACACACACACACATATATATATATATATATATATATATATATATATATATATATATATATATATATATATATATATCCAAACGTTTCCAGATATTTTAAAAAAGCGAGAGTAACCCCAGTCCATAAATGTGGTGATCTCACTGATGTCAACAACTTCAGACCTATATTAATTCTGCCAAACTTGTCAAAAACATTTGAAAAACTAATCTACAGGCAGCTTTACTCTTATCTAGCCAAACATAACATACTAAGCTCTTGTCAATATGGCTTCAGACCAAAAAAAAGCACTAATGATGCACTTATTAAATATGATTAACTTGATACATGCAGCTCTTGATAAAAATGAGTTCCCTGTTGGGTTATTTGTGGACCTACGTAAGGCTTTTGAAACTGTCAACCACCAAAACCTTCTTCTTAAATTACATCATTATGGAGTCAGAGGCACGGGAGACATCTCCCGTCACGCAGGGTGCAGTTGCACCTCCACAGATCTCCAGTATCATCTATTGATACTGGTAATGGCTCGAAAGGGCCACCACTTACTTGCTATTCATGCCCGTGCCACCTCTCGGGTGGATTCATCTTTATCAATCAATCAATCGGAGTCAGAGGTCACTCCCTGCAATACCTTCAGTCCTACCTTACTGACAGGCTCCAGTATGTTTCTGTGAATAATTCCATTTCTCCGACACTACCTATAAACATTGGTGTTCCACAGGGCAGCATACTTGGCCCTCTCCTCTCTCCTCTTTCTCATCTACATTAATGACCTTCCAAATGCCTCTCAACACCTCAAACCAATCTTATTTGCTGATGACACAACTTTCATCTTCTCCAGTCCTGACCATCTTGCTCTAAATGTCACTGTGAATACTGAACTAAATAAAGTCCATCTTTGGCTAACTGCCAACAAACTCACCCTTAACATTGACAAAACTTTCTATATTTTGTTTGGTAATAAATCCTCAAATGAAATTAATCTAAGAATAAACAATATACAAATCAGTAGTAAAGTTGATGGTAAGTTCCTTGGTGTCCTCATCGATAACAAGCTCAATTTCCAGGGACACATTCTAAATTTAGCAAAAAAAAGTTTCTAAAACTGTTGGCATTCTTTCTAAGATCAGATATTATGTACCTCGCCCTGCCCTGGTGACGCTCTATTACTCTCTCATCTATCCTCATCTCAACTATGGTATTTGTGCTTGGGGTTCTACTACCCAAAATCATTTACGTCCCCTAATTACCCAACACAAAGCTGCTATTAGAACAATATCTAACTCTGACCCCAGACAGCGCTCGGTACCCTTAGTCAAATCTCTGAATATGTTAGATATTAAGTCACTGCACATCCTCTCTTGTGTAATCTATATATTTAAAACGCTGAACTGTAATGTCAATCCTGACCTTAAAAGCTTCCTAGAAGGTTGTAACAGAACTCATGGGCATCACACCAGAAACAAATACCTATTTTCAATACATTGTTTCAAGCACGGGTTGGACAAGTATATGAGTGGGATTGGGTGGTTATAGAATAGGAGCTGCCTCGTATGGGCCAATAGGCCTTCTGCAGTTACCTTTGTTCTTATGTTCTTATTTGGTATTCCAAGAGTACGACTTAATCAAACTAGGAATGCTCTTCAAATCAAGGGACCCAGAATGTGGAATGACCTTCCCAATCATGTTAAAGATTGTACCTCTCTCAACCAGTTTAAGATGAAAACTAAGTACTACCTAATTAACCCCATGTAACCTGCCTTACTTCTAAATGTCAATCCATGTCTTACTATTTAAAAAAAAAAATGCTGTTTGTTGACCAACTTGTATATTGGCTATTTACTACCATGTTCCCCCCTTTTTTTTCTTTTATTATTTTTTTCTTTCAACGCAATTTATACTTTAAGCTTAATTACTCTTAAGTTTTAGTCTAAGTGGGTTTTTTTCCACCTCACCTTGCCCGAAACGCTATGCGTACTAGTGGCTTTAGGTATTGTATGTACTACCTCTGTCTATAAATCTAACAGAATGTTTGTACTGTAACTCTGCAACTATGTATGTACTTTTCCTAAATAAATTATTATTATTAATATATATATATATATATATATATATATATATATATATATATATATATATATAGACATAATATCTAGAAGGGACATAACAAAGGGGATATTAATAGGGTATTAAAAGTATCAACACAAGTCAGAACACGAAACAATGAGTGTAAATTGGATAAGTTTAGATTTAGGAAAGACTTGGGTAAATACTGGTTCGGTAACAGGGTTGTTGATTTGTTGAACCAATTACCACGTAACGTGGTGGAGGTGGGGTCCCTCGATTGTTTCAAGCGTGGGTTGGACATGTATGTGAGTGGGATTGGGTGGTTATAAATAGGAGCTGCCTCATATGGGCCAATAGGCCTTGTGCAGTTACCTTTGTTCTTATGTTAAGCGAAATTTCATCTACCAGTACTCATTGTTGTGGGTTCTCATCTGTTCCGACAGTTTCAGAACCGTGTTTATGCTAAGAACCCACATGAGAACCACTGTTATATCCTACCTCGTCCTGCGTCTCTTTAGCGAGTGTACTTGAGTCACTTCAATCTTAATAGGGAAGGTCCCCCATTTCAAACATCAGCCTTGCCATCCTTGTGTGTATTATCTACACAGCGTAGTACATATGGGACCTCACCTATGCTACATGTAGCTAAAGGATGAGCTTCGTGGTTCTGCTTCTGAAGTTACTTATTGTAAATCTCAACACCTGGTTGACTTTATTTCGCGCAATAATGCATTGCTGTCTGGGCCTAGCGTATATGAGTCCCAAGGGGAAGGGGTCAGGATAAGGATTTGGGATGGGACGGGGTGGAAGGCATGGTGCCCAAACATTTTAACGGTCGGAGATTGAACGCTGACCTGCATGAAGCGAGACCGTCGCTCTACCGTCCAGCCCAAGTGGTTGAGCATGAGTCCCAAGTCTTTCACAGTTTGATCTAACCATGACTCTATTATTAATGTTTATATCGTTATCCTAGATTAAGGATATTGCTTTTCTTGCCATTAAAACATATTTGTTTTAAGCACTCCAGTTTAACTCTTTCCAAATCATAGGAGCTTTGTGTCGTCCACAAACTTGCTGATATACTGGTCACTCCAGTATCATAAGGCCTTGATAAAAATTATGAAAAGCAGTTGACCCAATACAGAGATGAACAGTGCTGCTTCCCAGTACTTCCCCGAAGAACTTTTCTTGATGTTAATACTTATCTTGCTCTTGTTAGATCTGATCTATAATATATAGTTTAGGAACTTTCTAAACTATATCATCCTCGCAACGGCTTCTACTGATTTTCGTATATAGTTTAGTTTTGGGGCACCATGCTATAGAATAAATATATATCCTTTGTAAGACGTTCAGAGAAAGGTGTCGAAGTTAATCCTGGGCATTAGGAAACTCACATATGACGGGATTACAAAAAGCTTAATTTACATCCCCTAAAGATATAAAGAGCAGGGAGACTGGATTAAATCAAGCGAATATATGAAATGACATAAGACGGTGGATATTATATGGTAATAAATATATCAACACGAAACACGAAACAACGGATAAATCAAATAAGCTTAGATACAGAAGATATAAGAGCCAATACCGATTTGGAAACAGAAGTTACAGATATATGGAACAAATTACTGGGTAACATAATAGAT